ATTACTCCATCCGTCCCATTTATTTATATTTTCCTTATCTATTAAGGAGAAAATATTGACAATTAGAGTTACACAAAGGAAAATTTTTGCCAAAAATTGCATTTTTCTTTTCGATAAATGTTATTCATCCCCATTGAAGATGCATCCCCAGTCTATATGACGTTAATGTGTCATTAAATAATAGTTGAAATTAAATAAGTCATTTAATTTCACATATCATTTAATCAATCATTTACATCCACATAGATTGAGAATACATCCCACTGGAGATGGATAACATTTTTCTTTTCAATAACATTAAATAAGATTTTTAAATTCGTGTGAAAAAACAAAATGGGACAGAGAAAGTAAATGGTTAAATCTGAAAATATGTAGTCGAATGATCTTATAGCTTTTTTTGTTGCTCGATTCCATGAAAAAGGAATCGCGTTGAATTCTTTTTAGTGCTAGGCCAATATAGGAAAAGATTGACGACGCTCTGCGAACCTAACACGAAACCTGAAATATCTTTTGCCTTATGGGTTGGGAGTCTAATACACTAAACACGTTTTCACTAGAAAAGTAATCCAATCAAAATCCTGGAATCTTTTCTAGGTGGGACCCTCACTCAAGAATTGAAAAGCTCAAAAGACCACAGATAATAAAATCATCACAGCACAGAGCAACAGTACCCTAAATAAAAGCTGAAAACAAGATCCACCTCGATCACTCCTCCCACTCCCACCACTCTAAAGATTCAGTCTTTTCACCATTTTTGATACGGAGAAGTGGAAATATGAAAACCCTTTCAAGTTCCATCCCCTAATTTCACACTCCCTTGATTTGCCTTCCAAATTGGGTTTTTAAATTTAATCTCACATAATCTTGGAGCCATCTCCAAGATCGGAGGAAAAAAAGTTGACCCGTTACAATTTCCTGTTATATGTGAATTTTCTTTAGTGTATTCAAGAAAAGAGGGGGAAAATGAGGGAAGAGGATTCGAATTGGTTTGCTAAATGGGAAGATGAATTGCCATCACCGGATGAGTTGATTCCCCTATCCCAATCTCTAATTACAACTGATCTAGCGCTAGCCTTCGATATTAGAAATCCACATCAAATTGCGGCGGCGGCGGTGCCACCGCCTCAATCTGCTGCTAACTCCTCAGCAGAATTTGACTCGGCTGAGTTAGGTGGCGGAGGAGAGGGCGGCAGTGGCGGAGGATCCGGGGCTGGAGACGAGCCGGCGAGGACTTTGAAGCGGCCAAGGCTCGTGTGGACGCCGCAGCTGCACAAAAGGTTTGTGGATGCTGTGGCCCATTTGGGAATCAAGAATGCTGTTCCCAAGACAATAATGCAGCTCATGAGTGTGGATGGACTCTCTAGAGAAAATGTTGCTAGTCATTTGCAGAAGTACAGGCTTTATTTGAAGAGGATGCAAGGGATGTCGAGTAACGGTGGCGGTGTTGGTGCCAATAATTCTCCGGCAGCACTGGCTGCCGTCGGCGTAGACCCTGCCACGGACCATTTATTTGCCAGCTCGCCGGTGCCAGCACATTTCCTGCATTCAAGCAGGCCAAATTCTGACCATTTTCTCCCATTTTTGCCGGTGACAACAATGCAGAATCATCATCAGATGGAGGTGGTGGGGCCAGGGGCGCACCACCATCAGCTGCAGCAGCAATTTCGGCATTTTGGGACTTCACCACCAAATGGGCAGTTCGAGCATCCCTTTATGTGGCAGTCACAGCAGCAGGTGCACAGGATGGGTACGCCAGTGCACGTTAGAAATGGTTCTGCCGGGGTGCCACTGCCATATGTGAAGGATTTGGAGTCAGCCACTGCCACAGATGGAAGGAAAGTCCTCACCCTGTTTCCAACTGGTGATGATTAAATATGGAGAAATTGTTGAATTTTTTTCATGTAACTCTGCATTTTTCCTGTCAGTTTTTACTCCTGAGCATTTGTCCATGGGGTATCTATCTAGTATTCGAATTTAGTTGTCGTATCATGTTAACATTTGTGTTCATAGATGTTGTTGATGCTCTAGGTTGAGTTCTATTTAATATTTACATTCTTGTTTTCTCCATGAGGACCTCGGTTTGTGTCTATTAGAATGAGTCTTTGCATTGTGTCGATTCTGTTGTGAAGGAGTCAAATTCCATCAAGTCATTACCCATTCTGTTTCATCAATGTCGCCTTTTGTTGGCTGATATTGATCCAACTCCACCATCGGGTCACCAGTGACAGATATAGACCATGATGTCAATTTGGGTAGCAATAACGTTATAACAGTTCTTGAAAAGCAACCAATTGGTTACACTTGATCGTGCAGCGAAGGAGAACAATGCTGGCAAGAATCATGGTCCTACTATGTCTTCAAGAAGTCAGAAATCATGATTTACTGCATAGAAACTTTGTTCTATCGTTTCCTAGTATAACCTTGTGTAGAGTCGAGCCCTACTTGTAAATGCTGTTGTTTTATGCAGACATTAAAACCTTGATATTCGGAAATCTTGCAGAGGAAACTTACAATTCTAATGCTATGTGATGTTGCTTCAATATTTGTATCCTGTGGACAAACCTTGATAAGCACTGTGTATTTTGTTGTCATTTTGGACTCCATATGCATCGAGTATATATTTCACTCAATCAAATACAATGCTCTTTGAAGTTTTAGTCCCCTTTATTTTCCTCATATTGGCTCATCTCGTACCCTAAGGTCACGTTTAGTTGCCATAGTTGAGCTTGGAATCTAATTCTAGATGCAATGCATAGGATCTAACAATAACTTGTTAATCGTAATACAAGAAACTTTGTTGGTAGCTCACATGCATATAGAAATAGAATCCCAGTTGGAGTGTAAAATTCACCTCGGTGAGGAGGGGCGAGGTGGGATATATCATATATGTAGGACATGATTTGAACATTAGGCTTTTTCACATGGATGAATAACAAAGATGGGTAGGTCGTTGAATGATCCAAACAATGACAACATTGATTGAAGTAAATGAATTGTCAAAATTCTATCTTAAAATGTAATGAATGCCACCTGTCCCACCTTGAGAGGCCATGAGAGATGGAAATCGTGAAGTAGCATAAAACTGGAATAATGACATGAAAANAAGTAGCATAAAACTGGAATAATGACATGAAAAGGACAATGGTAATGAAGTAACTTTTCTTGGCTTGAAAATATAAATGCAAAAATCCCATAACAAATTGCAGATTTTTTATTTTTTATTTTTATCGGTGAATGTAAATTCTATTGATCAAAAATTAATGTACAATTACACTAGGTATACTCGGGCAAAACGAAGATCAAAAGATGTATCAACCCAACACTAGAGACTCAAAATGAACCAAAACATTAGGATACAAAGAAAATATGATTTTGTATACATATGTTTTAATCCGTCTCACAATGCTATATCAATACATGGTTTGAGATCTTCAAAAATCATTATATTTCGTACCATCCAAATTTGGTAGACCGTGCAAGCAAGTGCGTTTTTCTTGGCTTTAGATTGTCAAGATGTGCCACAGGCTTCTTTCTTCATCCACTTCAATACACTAAGGGTCCATTTCATTGTAAGGGTGGAAAAAAAATGAATTACAGATAAAAAAATTGTTTTGCAGGGAATTGTTAATTGAATGTGTTTGATTGGTATAATTTTTCACCCAATTTTTTTTTAAATTTTGTGTTCATTTGACTTTGTTTTACATGAAAGTTGTCCACTAAAGTAATAATTTTTTCCACAATTTGTTATAAAATTTATTTTCATTGCCAAAAAGTAAAAAAAAAAAAAAACGAAAATTTTTTTTAATCAAAATTTAGTGTTCGTTTGACTTTGTTTTACATGTAAATTGTTCATTAAAGTAAAAAAAAAAATTTAAAATTAGTAATGAAATTTGTTTCCATTATCAAAAAAAAAAAAAACCAAACCTGGAATCAAATTTCCCACAAAAAAGGTGGGAAATCCAATTCCTTGAAAATGAGGAAATGGTGCACGTGTAGCCATAAAATGGAAAACGAATTCCATGGAAAAAAATGGTATCAAACATGACAAATGTTGGAAAATGGAATTTGACCATGGAATTTGAAGCCTATCAAACGTAGCCTAAGTATTGTCGTTATTGACCTCCTCATTCCCAACCAACCTTTAATCTGTCCCCAGATGCTTGAAATCCAAACACGCTGAAAAAATAAGTGCGGACCTGTTTCGAGATGTGAACCACAAAAAATACAAATCCTGTCAATGTTTAGACGCCCCAACTTATCTTTCGTAAGAAGCTTAGACTGTGCTGCCAACCACAGCATGAAGGAGTGTTTTGGAGTGATGTAAGGTCTCCAAATCTCCCCCATCCAGGTCCTTATCTCTCCCTTCGACCTAAAAGACTGATATGCACTATCCATGCAAAAACGGTCAGAAGCTGTCCATTTGGACAGCCTATGGACAACAGCTTGGTTAGTGAGTTCCAGCCCTCTAAGCTGATTTCGAATGTCCAATAGCTTCTTGATCAAAGGAGAGTAATCTTTCGTTGCCATACACTCCCAAATACTAGCCCCACGAAGGTTAATTTGATTAATCCATAGTGTGTCTTTTGCTATGGATATTCCAAAGGGACTTTGAAAGAAGTGTTGAATTTCGACATTTTATGTCCCTAAATCCAAGTCCACCCTCATGTTTTGGTAAGCAAACGTTACTCCAAGCAACCAACGGTTTATTAGTACTCCAAAGGAAGTTTCGGCATAAACTAATGATCTTTGGAGCAACCGCGGCTGGGATAGGAAATGTAGAAAGCCAAAAATATTCCACGCCTTAAAAAATGGCTCTTATAACCTACCCACATAGGACAAAGATGCCTTAGACCAACCACAAATGTAAGCAGTGATTTTGTTGAGAAAAAAGTCATAAAAGCTGATTCAACTTCTCCGTGACAAGTGGGATCCCCAAGTACCAGAATGGCATGGACCCCTTGGACATATTAGTTAATTCATAGATCTCCTCAAGCTCTTGCCCTTGAACCCCAACGTTATACAAGCTAGACTTGTTAACATTCATCCTTAATCCCGACATGTTTCCAAACTTAGACAAACAATTCATCAAGATACCAATCGAAATTGGATCTCCTCTAGCGAAGATCATCAAAACATCCGCAAATGCCAAAGTGTGTTATCTGTAAAGGACCACATTTGAGGGTTCGATATGGCTGAGAACTCCGACTACTATGTGAGAAATTACCTCGAGGGTTCAATGTGGTTGAGAACTCCGACTACTACATGAGAAAAAGTTTAACACGATGGTAGAGTCATCAGAACACTTCCTTTTCTCCGTATTTTGAAACTTATCTTTTATGAAGTGTAATATATTTATCAAAATTATTTTTAGCATACTCTCGAAATGGTGTTAGGGAACTCGATTATCCTACAAAATTGAGCAGTCTTGAATTGAAAAATAATGTTTTGCACACATAAAATCTTAACCATTTTCATCAGCCCATGGCCATATGATCGATTTTATAGTACTTCTGAAGCTCAATTGAAAAAATGGAGAGTGATGTGATTAGATTATACAAAAGACGAAATATTCAAAATCTTTGAAATAGTCACGTCATCGAAATCAATAAGTTCATCAAAAAAAAAATAGAGTAAACTTTAACAGATTTTTCTATTTGTGTAGGGAACTCGATTATCCCACAAAATTGAGCAGTTTTGAATTGAAAAATAATGTTTTGCACACATAAAATCTTAACCATTTTTATCAGCCCATGGCCATATGATCGATTTTATAGTACATCAAAAGCTCAAATGAAAAAGTGGAAAGTGATGCGATGAGCTTATACAAAAGACGGAATATTCAAAATCTTTGAATAGTCACGTCATCGAAATCAATAAGTTCATCTAAAAAATCGAGTAAACTTTAACCAATTTTTCTATTTGTGTTGGGAACTCGATTATCCACAAAATTGAGCAGTTTTGAATTGAAAAATAATGTTTTGCACACATAAAATCTTAAACCATTTTCATCCGCCCATGGCGATATGATCGATTTTATAGTACATTAGAAGCTCAATTGAAAAAGTGGAGAGTGATGTGATCAGATTATACAAAAGACGAAATATTCAAAATCTTTGAAATAATCACGTCATAGAAATCAATAACTTCATCTAAAAAATCAGGCAAACTTGAACAGATTTTTCGATTTGTGTAAATTTACAAACTATGTGAAAGTGCTTTAAAGGTGTTTTTAAGGTAGCCTATATTCCTCGTCGGGTAACGATTTGAGGTATCTCATTTCAAATCCGTCATTCTGTAATCTTTGTAGAGATGAATTATTAGTTTTGATAATATCGATATGATAAAATTAAATGGATTTTGTTTCAAATGAAGGGCTTCATTCACTGTTTGACAGTTCACAACAAGATTAACAAAGTCTTTGTCCCATCTTTAGTTGTGTGCAATTAATAAACAAATCCCATATTGTCCATTAATTTATAGTTTTATAAGATGAAGATAAACATAAATAGAATTTAATATGATATCAAGCTGGCACTGAATTATTCACATGACATTATTTGGCCCCATGTGATGTGCTCTAGATTTGTTCTCAATTTTCAAGAATAAACAAAATCTCAAGTATCCCTCTAAATCCATCTTGAATAATGCCAACTTGTAATCACAATCTAGAGCCATTGGTTGTTGACAATTGCATCAATTAATCCCTCTCCCAACTGGTTCGACCATAGGTGCTTTTAAACAATATAGTAGATAAGGTTATTTAACTTATTTTTCTTCTTTTCGTACTTTCAATACCGTCTAGTCCACCTTACCAAACAAGTCACTAATGAACACGTGAAATACGGTCGTGAAATACATTTATAACATTCACAGGACAAGCCAACAGATTTATAAAATCACAAATAGAACATGCATGCAGCAATAAATCTCTTACAAACAACAACAGTTGTTCCAAAAATTGTTCACCAACTTAGATCAAATCCACAAGTAAAAGCAAAATGAAACGAAATCGAAATACAAAGTTTAACACTTTCTGTCACTTGAACTGAATCAAGAAACCTATGTAGAAACAATACAGTGTCTAGTTCAGTAATAGTGTAATACAGACATTCTCCCAGCCAATAATTGAACTGTCACATATGGTTCTGGGAATAATCAAAACTTAGGGGCTGCTGACAGAAGGGAACCTATACCAAACATAAAGAGAGTGCTTTAGTTATCGAAGTTGCAGAAACATACTAAAGAGGAAAACAGATGAGAACCGTGTTTATTCTGGACTAGCTTACATTATTTTCAGAGTATTAACCACACGTTAGCATCTTTTGACATCGAAATAGTCCAATGTGGTCAGATGTTAACACGTGGTTGCATCATTGATATCAGAATAATGAATGAACCAATGGAGAATAAATTAGCACAAAAAATCACAGTTATTCAATAACTACATGCACCGGTGGACCAATATCTATACTAATGCACATTTCCAAAACAGAATCCTACACAAGTAGTAATTGAGAAAGAAGCTAACACCTACCTGACAAAAGGCATGCCTTCGTTGATCATAAGACCATGCATACATCATGGACTGACTTGGCCACTGCATATATAAAGCATCCCGAGATGTCTGATTCGATCCCATGGCACAATATGGGCTCATGATTGGGGTCTGATAGTTGACGGGAGCTTGAGCTACCGGCATCTGACTCAGCTGAGGAAAAACAGGATCATAATGCACAAATTGAGGCTGGAATTTCTGCATATTAAAAGGTGCTAAGCTGAAATGTTGAGCGCTTGGAAGGTTTTTAATATATCTGCACAGTTTCAAAAAGAGAGTAATTTTGATTACTTTCTAGACTGTTTGCACATAAATAGATAAAAGCATAGAGTCAAGGGTTGATGGACAGGAGATTTGTCAATCAAAGTGACTACATGCATTAGCTTTACTATGTTACATCCATACTCACCTAAAGATAGCATCTTTTCCCCCTTTACAACCATTCCTAGGTTATCTTCCATATTCAATTTTCTCTATTCAAAACTACGAATATTCAGTACTGAAAAAGTATGATGCTAAAAAGGGCTACAAAAGTTGAGCACCGTACATTGTAATGATCCAAAACATGAGGTGCAAATCAAGTGAAATTATTATCTTACGATGAAGTCTCATGAAAGTTCTATAAACTGAGAATGAGGAATGCTGCAATAAGTGTTAGAGCATCTCCAAGAGACTCTTTAAACATGAGATGTTCTCTATTTTAAAGAGTCAATATTTAAAATCATGTTTCAAGAGACTCTTTAAATTAACATTTTAATTTAGAGAGTGGGTTTGACCCTCCAAACATTTTAATTTGGAGAGTCAAACTCACTCTCTATAATTAAATGCATTCAAAGTGTTTCAATTTTCAAAGTAGAAAAACAATAAAATAATCTAAAGAAAAACTAGTTAAAATAAAAGATAAACAAAAATAATAAATATTTTTTGGGAGTAGTAAAATTAAGTGTTAAATATAAAGAGTTTGTTGGAATATTTCAAAATTTTAACTCTCTAAATTTATAGATACTCTCCAAATGATTGAATATGCTCTTTAAAAATAGAGTCTCTTGGAGATGCTCTTATACCTATAGAACGATGAGAGTATAATTGCTGAGTGCAAGTGTCTGTGTATGAAAGTTAAAAGAAAGAACAAAAACGAAAAATTTTGAAAACTTTGAAGTTCAGCAATCAAATTCTTGGATTTACACATAAACTCTAATTACAAGCAAGCGCCTTGGGTTTTGATTTGATTTGATTTTTTTAATTGGAGGAGCAGCTTTGAGGATATAACTGCAGACATAATATCTATCAGAAGAGAGGATGGTCTTGTATAAGATTGACATAAGAAGCCAGTAGGCAAGACTTAAGACAGTTAAAAGTCTCCTGTCCAGGGCTTCTACCATGGTCCTACATAGTCCACTCAGTAATGGAGGAAACAGATACTAAAGAGACCAAAGAAAAAGTGAAAAATTAGTATCGTAAATTATGCTAAAAAAAATTTGGCTGAATGCCTGAACATATAGAAGATGTTTCCTCAAGCAAACTAAGAACAACTACACCTTTGAGACATTTCTTCAATGCTTCAATCAATAAGTTATATTTCGTTGTGGAGAACTTCAGTCTTAGTTCTTTGAGCATACAGGTTAAGGCAACGAATAACTTGAGAAATAACCCACACATTCTTACACTAATAATTCAGACAGTGGTCAAAGAATGATCTAAACATACCTTTCATAACAACGATCATAATCAGGGTCAGTAAGATCCTTCTCCCTGTCCCTAAAGATGGCAACCCTAGAAGAACTACCAATGTCCCTGCTGCTACAACTTTTGTCCTCATCCACACTCAAGTTCCTTGAAACTTCACTTTCATCTACATTCAAATTATTCACATTGGAAGCAACATGAGAAAAAGAATCTTCTGACCCAGAACTACTTGGACTACTGAAAATACGAGATCGTGCTTTGTCATACTCCTCCCTCCTCTCTTCCACAGTTCTCACAGGACAGTGCTTAAACCCCGTTCCATTGATCTCATTTGACGAAGCCTTAGAATGCCTTGGCTTTATCACAATCTTTACTCGATCAACTTCGGCATTTTCTGATTGTTTAGCTGGAACATCTGATAAACAGACAATGTGGACCTTACTTTCTGGTTTCTTTATGACCAAAATACGGATTCCCTGGCCATCTATGACATTATCCTGAACCATAGTCTGCAAACCATAATGTTGAGCAACACGGTGTGCAGCAAGACGAAGGTATGAAGTAGGAAAGTGTGGAAACTCGAACTGCTGTAGATCAGAATTCTGCAAGAACTTTTGTACATCGAGTTCCATTCGCAGAACTGGTAAAAATAAAATACAAACAAAAAAAGAACTAATTTTCTAGTTATCCAAAAAACAAGGAGATGAAGATGAAAAAATCAACAAAAAAATATTATAAATATACTAGAATATTAAAATAATATCAGCACATTCAAATATAAATGCTCTCACGAGCATAATCACCCCCACCCCAACCCAAAAAAATAAAAATAAAATGCACTTTAATGTAGGCTCTTGAACATTTTTTTTCATCCTTCACTGGAAAGGCTATACGTACAAACTACTCATAACTCAAAAAGTTATCAAAAGGATAAACCACACCAGAGTACATTTAATGAACATAATAAACCTGCTTCTTACGTGAGGATTCACTTCAAAGTTTCCAATTTTTTGAAGTCCAGTTGTTAGCAAAAAAAAAATCTGCTAGTTTACTAAAGCAATCTCACGCTCGACAGTCAACATTCCATCTTAAGTAGAAACCACAAAATGAAAAAATAATAAGGCAAAAACAGCAAGATTTATGACAAGAAGAAAAAACAAGCAATAACAAAAAATTATAACACAAAGAAAAGAAACCTACAAATGAAAGAGAAGAGGTCACCTATCCATAAACTATATAACCGATCATAGATTTAGCTCATTAAAGTCATGAAATTTTTAAGTCACACAGCCATATTTATGCAAATATATTTTGATAGAAGTTATCCCAAGCATAGTCACAAGTTATTCGGCAAGAAACCACTCAATTGTGGCCATGATAAATCTGAGAACTTGACAGTGACACGATTTCTTAAGTTTATGAGCATTATTTTTCTTTTACCCTTATTCCAATTTTTGGTCCATTGAGAGCTCAAACAAACATCATAACAAGATGAAGATTAGTGTTTGACACTGAGACCTTCAGTTTGTTTGAAATTTGCAGTATCTTAAAATCGAACAGAGCATTATGATGTTCATTGTCTTCGGGAAACTAAAAGATGCAGAAATTTTGTTCATGTTATGAATCTCGGTCATAAAGGAATAAATCGGTCTTCGCTTCATAACATTGCCAAGGAAGTATTCTTCTCTCCTTCATATACCCTGCTTTAATCTTTCTCTCTTCAAAACTATTAGTATATTATTTATATTAAATTTTCCCATTTTGTTCTGAATAATTATTAGATCCGAAGGTTTGACCCATTTGTATACATGCATGCTTCCATTAGCGAGCTACGAGTTATTTGCTCTGTCCATCTCAGCATAACATGAATTCAAGAAGTACGAAAAAAGGATACATAAACTCAGTGCCCTACAAACATCCTCAAAAGAAACAATGAGAAATATAAAAAAACCAGTTGACAAAGGTTACATGCTCCTTTCTTTGTCATAAACCCCAGGTTTTTAATTCATCTGCCCATCATGGTTAATTAGATTTCTGAACTTTTCAGCTTTCATATTGCCTTCCCAATGTTTCCTCTACCTCTACCATGACTATCCTCCACACAGCTCTCATCAATCTACTGAAGAAGTTGCAATAATCTAAGTTTTTTTCTCCCACAAGAGGATCCTTACTTTCAGTGTTCATACGATACTACTGATTTTCCTGATCTACTGTATTTCAATTGTCAGAAGAGCCATGTTATCATTGATATATAATTAGCTTGTTTCTCTCTGTGTATACCTTTTTTTTATTAAATTACAAAGTATCCATTAAAAGGTGACAGTGGCATGATTAGTAATGCAAACATGAACAAAAGATTAGGCACCATCAATTTCCTACATTCACACACGCAATCTAATAAACAAGAAGAAAACCCGACCCATTACACATTATACCCAAAATCACAAATACCTGTTACATAACAACAATGAAAACGAAATTACGCTACAAAATCTATGAAAATTACAGATTACACGAAATAAAAAACTGAAAAACAAAAAGCGGGAAAAGTACAAACTGGTTAGACGATGACGCAGATTTTGAAGAGCCTCAACTAGGAAAGGATCCACCATTGAAACATTCGCCAGAGGGTCCTTCTCCTTCTGTTTTTCCTTCTGCTCCTCGTTACCATTAGCTTCAATTGTCAGTTTCGGTACTTGCAGTGAAGTTTGAGATAACTGAAAATCCATCCTGTAATACTTATACGCAATATGTATATATAGATGTATATATGTATTTATATATGGTGAGCTCTCTCTGTAGAGAACAAAAGTGAGAGGGGGAAGAAAAACCCTTTCTGTTTCTAGGGTTATCCCTCCCGCCGATTGGAGGGAGTGTGAATTGGAATTAACAGATGGATTTTATATTCACGCGCCAGTACCAGCTCAGCGAGAGGACAGGAGACAAGACAAGACAAGACAAAATTGAAATATGTACGTTTACCAAAAACTCAGTAATTCGTTTATTATTAAAAATAAAATTTGATCGATTTATAAATTTTGTAAAATAAATTAAGCTAGACTAATTACAATGAAAACAAACAAAGTTGTTGCATTACAACATTATATTAATTAATCATTTCTAGTTTATTTATTCAATATTATTAAAATCGAAGCAGCATATTGAAAACGTTGAATAGAAACATAAAAATAACAAAAACCCAGAAAACAAGTTCACAGAACCAGAAACAAGATTTGATAATACACTATTCTCGAGAAAAAAACGAAGGAGAATTCAGTTTTTTCTTTCAGGTATTGCTCGTTTCCGTTTATGGTCCCGTTTGAAACCCGTTTTTCGAAGAAAATTTTATTTCTACTACAGTATATGCAGACATCCACTGCCTAAGACCTGGGTAGTATCAGACAAGCAATTAATGACCCATGTTACCTGTTGAAATCTTCCGGTTTTGCCCTCGTATTGTACAAGAAAATTTCCACAAACACCCTCAACTTTAGCTTTTGAATTTCATTGATCTACTAACGGGTTTCAAACAATGGCTATATGATATTCATTTTGGACTGTTTTTATTTGTAAATATTCTCAGTTTTTTAATTAATAAAAGGTGGATTGATAGAATTTTTGAAGAAATACGGAATATCCACTTGCTACGAGTATTTTCTCTGTGTCGAGCTTTTGATTTGACGTAATTTGAATAGAAAATGGATCGAAGGAGGATTTCCCCAAACATGGTCTTTTTGAACATTTTTCTGTAATGGGTAATTGGTTTTTTCTTTTTATTAATTTTTTTCCGTAGTGTTTTCGCGGTTACTTGAGATGACATAATCTGATTCTTTTTACAACATCTTCTTTTCGAATCATTTCGATTGGAGAGTCTTGTGTGATCAGATAGTGAATAATTATGTTGGTTTTGTGTATATTAGGAGTGCTTACTTGGTAACATTTATTAGATTTGATTTTTAACAGTTTTTTTTTTTGGTAGATATATAAAATGAGTGAGAAAGTGAAGAGGGGAAATGTGACAGACAATCGGGGGGATACCGGGGAGGAGATTATTCTAATGACCATGGTGAATAATGGGGAGGATTTGGGACCTACGGTCAGGCTCTCCTTCGAGACAGGAAAGCCCGAATCTCTTTTGCAGCAGCTTAAGAATGTAGTAAGAAAGAAGTTGAAATCGAGGATCTTTGCAAACTTCATTACGAGGATTTTATTCTTGCAGTTTGATGAGCTAAGTGGTGTTTTGGTTGAAACTCGAAGAACTTCTTGAATCTTATTCGGTTAAGAAGAATGTCACTGAAGCCATCAAAATGTCAAAGAATTACGTTCAAGTATTAGATTTGTGCGTGAAGTGTATTACTTTAGAAGGTCGGTTTTGTCCTGCTTTAAAAGCTATAAATCTGATTGAGAAAAATTATTTGCATAATATTCCTGTCAAGACACTGAAGATTCTGATAGAGAAGAGAATGCCGTTAATTAAAATGCACATTGAGAAGAGGGTTTGCAGTGAAGTTAACAAATGGCTAGTTCACATAAAGAGTGCTGCAATGGACATTGGGTAAACGGCTATAGGATATACCGCTGCTGCTTGTCAGAGAGATGAGGACGTGCTCCCTCGTCAAATGAAAGCAGAGGAACAGAGTTGTTTGGGAGTAGGAAATTTCACTTACACCTTAAATGTTGAAGAAATTGATGAAAAATCTGGTTTAAAATTTAATCTCACGCCTCTGTATCGAGCACATCACATTCACACATGTATTGGGATCCAGGAAAAGTTTCATGATTATTACTACAAAAATCGGTTTCTTCAGCTGACTTCAGACTTACAAATATCCTCAGTCCAGTCATTCCTTGAATCCCATCAGACCTTTTTGGCTCGTATTGCAGGTTATATTATTGTTGAAGATCGGATTTTAAGAACCACTAGTGGACTACTTTCACCGAATCAACTTGAGACAATGTGGGAAACAGCCATGGCTAAAGTAGTTGCAGTACTGGAGGAACAATTTTCCCATATGAATATAGCGAGCCATCTCCTCCTGGTGAAGGATTATGTAGCTCTCTTTGGAGCAACTCTCAGACAATATAGTTATGAAGACGGCTCAATTCTTGGTACTTCGAACAGTAGTCATGAGGTCATTTATTAAGGATTCAGTAAATTACTTGTCTTTTGGGTTGCAAATGTACTTTTTTGACTTTGTGAGGAAGTACCTGGACAAGCTCTTGATTGACGTCTTGAATGACGTTGCAATTAACACGATTTATAGCGGTACCATTGGTGCATCTCAGGCAATGCAGATTGCTGCAAACATATCTGTATTAGAAAGAGCTTGTGATTATTTTCGTCAGCATGCAGCCCAACGATGTGGAATTCCTGTCCGATCAGACAATAGGCCTCAAGTTAGTTTAACAACCAAAATTGTTCTTAAAACTTAAAGGGATGCTTAAATTAAACGTAAATTGGACTTCCGAAGATGTACCCCAGCATGCAAATGAGTATGTAAATGAGGTTATTATATATCTCGACACTGTTCTGGCAACTGCTCAACAAATCTTACCATTGGACGCTTTATATAAAGTTGGGAGTGGTGCTCCTGATCATATTTCTAATTCTATTGTGGAAGCTTTTCTCAGTGACAGTATAAAAAGGTTTAATGCAAATGCAGTCATGAGCATCAACCATGATCTAAAGGCATTGGAGTCATTTGCAGACTATAGGTTTCAGGGTACTGGATTGCTTGGAATATACAAGGACGGTACTTTTCGAGGTTGCTTTATAGAAGCCAGACAATTGATAAACCTTCTCTCGAGCAGCCAACCTAAAAATGTTATGAATCCTGTAATAAAACAGAGGAACTACAATGCTTTGGACTACAAAAAGGTGGGTACTACTACTATATGTGAGAAATTCAAGGATTCGCCGGATGGACTTTTTGGTAGCCTTTCAAATAGAAACTCAAAGCAAAGTACCCAAAAGAAGTCCATGGACACACTAAAGAAACGACTGAGGGATTTCAACTGACAGAGCTTTAGTATTTTTCTGGATTAGAAATGTAACACCCGAATTCTAGTCATACGGCGGGTTACCAACACGAGTCCCTTTAGGTTAACCTGCATATACAAAATTAATGATTTATTTATTTTAAAAAGGAAAACAACAAGTTGGAACAGTTTTCTCCATTTATGTAGTGAGTTTACAAAAATTATTCGATCCATCGAACCTCGACGAAAATTTGTGAAATTTTACCCGACAGTAATAAACCCATATAAGTACAACGTATGTAAATTTGAAATCTTGACGACATCGTTTGAAGCACTAAAATATTTTTTGGATTGGCTGGTCTGAAATCTCGGATTAAATTCCACGGAGCTTCAATTGTCCTAATTTCAGTTGCATATGATAACTAACTCATAAAGGATTATTTTCCAATTTGAAATATGCTAAAATTCAAATTTTACAGATTGTAATAAGATTTTAAAAGCAGTGGCAGAAGCTGGAAATTTACGAAAGAACAGGTTCAAACTTTAAAATTTTCCCATCTTAAAAAGTAAACTCAAACTAAAAGTTATCAGACTCCACAAGGATTATTGACCAAAAAAGATGACAATCTAAGACGTGAGAAATAAATCTCTCTATAATAAGTATGCCATCAATACCATCTATAAATCTCTCCACAAGGATCATTTTGAAAATGTTAAATAGGAATGAGCATCTAAAGAAAATACTGAGTAGACTACACATGATATATGGACATAATAATCATGCACCAGTAATACATAAGAATGTGTAACGCTTCGTTAATAAGCAAATCATTGATCAAACGATCTACTTAAAGATCTGATGAGCCTCTGCGATCATCAGTTAAACATATACAATTAAAGTTCTGATGAGTCTCTGCACCATCAGTTAAACATCTAACTTTTCTTCCATTCACATTCAAGAAAAACCATTAAAGGAACTTCACATACTTTCATAAGCAAATATAAAGAATAATATGTATGAATGAAAATTATATCCGTATAACAATCAACCTAGTGTAGAATTCCTACTTTAGTTCGAAATGATATAGCGGTGTCTACCTCAAATGGTATTTCCTTTCAAATTTTGAATATCAAAGTGGTCTCTCTTTTCCTTTTTAACTATAGTGGCGTGAACATGTAGTATATTGTATAAACAATCTCTTATGGAAAAAGAAAAAGAAAAAGAAATGTGATTATTCTACCAAATAAAGTAACGACGTTGAAACATATTCTCATATTAATCCCTCAACATCTCAATATAATAAAATGTACCAAATGAATTAAACGAAATATTTTTCTTTTATCACTACAAGAAATCGCTGAAATTCCTATTGTTTAACTGTTAATGATTTTATATGTTCTTTATGGTCCATGATCGAAATTGTTTCTCCTGAAAATAGAATTTGGCACAGATTGTTTTGTTTCTTGTCAAATCCTTTTCTTACTGAAGTAGAATAATTTTTGATCTCTTCTAAAGAGCGTGAATGAGTTTTTTCAGTTTGAGTTCTCTTCGACAGCTGATCATACCAGATTTTAAGAAACTAAGCTAACAATGCTCGGACGAAGTGAGCTTAAGTCCGTTTATGGTGTTGTGCCATTCAGAGTAGATTTCTACTACTTGAATTGCATGTTTGACAGGTAAGACTCACGGACAAGCAAGGAAACCTCAACCGTTGAGTATCAAGGCCATTGTTTTTTCCTGGTAAGTAACAAGACCCGTGCTAGGCCTGTCGATCAAAGCGACCCCTCCGGGCCCCATAAATGACACGTGTCTGAGCCCACTAGAAACTGCATTCCACGTCTGTGAAGGCCGAATGCACTAACATTTTTCTTGTTTTGCAGAGTCAGCTGTCAAATCATGCATCTGCTTGACGTGCGATGTATGCGGAAGCGTAAAACGATGTCGAACATGCAATTGAAGTCTCGTTGACTCCATACTAATACTGTGCGACATGATCATCTTTTGGTTTTTTCTTAATAAATGTTAGTATCTAGGAATCAAAGAGTATTTGATTAGCTCAAGATTTATGAGAATTTGACTAGTAGATTAGATATAACAAATATCAAAAATTGAAGAAATTTGGGATCACTATACATTCATTTCATTGATAATAAATTTAATTTGATAAAGAATATAACTTTAGCCCTTGTTTGTCTTCTATTTTTTGTAACTCATTGTTTTAAACTTATTTTCAGCCATACATTTCATGTGATCTACAAATTCTACCCACTTTTCAACATTACATTTCATCAACTTCTTTTAAAATCTACGTTTTTATCAAAACAAAACATGGCTTAATTTGTTCTTTGCTCTATATTTTCACAATAGATAACTCATCACTCAGCTTACAGTACTATTACTTTATTATATAAATATGAACAATGCTTCATGTACAGAAGCATGGTTCTACAGAAAACCATCAGATACACACGATGCAGGGAGTGGAAAGGTGGGTTTTTTTTTTTCATTTTTTATTCCGATGGGCTCCACACATGTGAGTGGGTGTAAAAGATGTGTAAAAAAATTAGGGAAAAATTCATAAATAAGGTATTTAGTTTACACCAATTCAAAAATCATGTTTATAGTTTGAAAATTCAAAAATCAGGTTTTTTTTTTTCTAATATAATATAATATAATAAACTCACCCCACATGCACCACCCCTACCACTCCGAGGACTATTCCGGCGACCACTCTTCTCCGACCATTCCGGCGACCANGATAATTCAACGGATATTTGATTATTAAATTTATATTCGATTTGCTATGTTATCGGATATCCGATTCGATAATTCGATTCGAAATTAAAGAAACTAGAAAGACAAAAAAATTTATATTAGTCAATTTCTAAGCCCTAGAATTAAAATGCCCAAATAGCTTTTTACCCAATTATCTGTCCAACCTATTTATATTTTGCAAATTATATAGTATTCTAGCCCCTGTTTGGTACACATTAAAATTTTCATTCTCATTCTTCTACTTATTTTCAACCACACATTTTTCAATATAATAATATTTTCTATCATATCAATAACTTTTCCTTCATTTTTAACCACACATTCTCCATCAATTTACTATTCAATAATACATTCTTTCAAAATAATGTGTCTCAAACACACTTAATTTTATAAAGAATATAACTTTAACCGTTGTTTGTCTTCTATTTTTTATAACTCATTTTTCTAAACTTATTTTCAGCCATACATTTCATGGGATCTACAAATTCTACCAACTTTTCAACATTAAATTTCATCAACTTCTTTTAGAATCTACATTTTTATCAAAACAAAACATGGCTTAATTTGTTCTTTGCTCTATATTTTCACAATAGATAACTCATCCCTCAGCTTACAGTACTAGTACTTTATTATATAAATATGAACCATGCTTCATGTACAGAAGCATGGTTCTCCAGAAAACCATCAGATACACACGATGCAGTGGGTGGGTCCGTGGGTGGGTGGGTTTTTTTTTCATTTTTTATTCCGATGGGCTCCACACATGTGAGTGGGTGTAAAACATATGTAAAAAAATTTCTGTACATATGATTTTTCCCTATAAATATATATTATTAGCAGGGGTAACCTTGACTGATAATTTGGGAGCAATTACATACTTTAGCAAAAAGAATAAGCACTTAGATGTTGGCCAAAAAAGGAAAAAAAAAAATGAAAAATACCCACATTTTAAAAAAGAATATTTTTTTTTTAATATTATCTAAATGTTCTATTAGGTATAATTGTTGTCTCTATGGATCTTTTCATGCATGATTGTTAAACACAACAAGAGCATTGGTCTCTTTTTCAATATTATTAAGGCTTTTCAATTAAGAAAAAGTGATTGCAACAAAAGTTAATTAAATTAATTTCTTAATTAGTGCAAATTAATGGATAGTTACTCAGTGGAAAAGCACATAAAAATGAGATTTGTGCATCCAAAAATGAATCTTTGACCTAGAAAACTTTCTAACACAATTATTTTCAATAATGCAAGCCTTTTATAAATTTATTAAAATGTTACAAAATATTCATAGGCTCGTACCATTTTAAAAACATTAAAAGAACACTTTTGCATGTAAAAGGTGACATTTTCCTTTAGAACTATGAGATGTTTGGACAATCTTTTAATTCTATTGGAATCAATTTCAAAACAAAATATTAAATGGAAAAGTGTCCCTTTAAAAAAGAGAACGAGAAAAGTTGTGTCTTTTATAGAGACAAACGAATGTGCTAATGAGAGAAGAGTAGTGTTAATTTTTTGGATTTCCTAATTAACTAGTTGAATAACGTTTTTTGCTATAGAATTCGCGTTCCATCACACGACCACGCACCTTATCTCTTACGTTGCAATCGATTGTGAACATGTTTAATCAACCATATATCTTAATAGTCATTTTTTTAGACAACATTACAAAATTGAGCAACAATGTGAGAGTTTTGGTTTGTATTGCATGTTTGTGTTTATGGGCGTAACATTTCTTTGCTATGGATAGGATTAGAAAAATCAATGCTTACCACTCCGTATATTTATTTTTTAATTTTAAAATACGATTCAAATTGTAAAACATAAATATAATAGAACAAAAATAAATAGCAAGTATTGTAGATTTGTAGATATTATTGATATCGTAACTATAAATACATAAAATATATTTTTAGATGAAATGATTCAATATTTTGCATCGAAAAAAGGACAAATTATAATGAAGAAAAAACAAGATACAAGTTGATGGGAAAAATCTGTCAGGTGCTTGAGATCAGCAAAACTCAATCCTACAGTTGTCTCCTGGTTGAATAATTCCTTGGTGGAATCTAATGCACTAGACATAAAAGATCAACAATCAACACTTGTTCCTACCTCTTGCAATTGCCCAAAAAAAAAAAAAATTAATAATAATACTATCTAGCACTAGTCTAGATAATCACACTTAATAAGTTCAATTAAATGAATTATTTAAATTTGTATTTAAGTAAATCTATTAGTTAATATCATATAATTGTCACATAAACTGGTACTTGACACCAACGATGCTGAAGAGCATTACTCGTCAAAAAACTCCAACACGTGCAGCTTTCGACTTGAATATGTAAATTTCTACTTTCTCTATTAGTTTATATTTTTGAGACCATCTGAACTCGTTTCAAAATAAATAATTGTCCTGAGATCAAGCCTTATAGTTTCTTAAAGATAAAAGCGTTTGATCTATTGATAAGTAAAAAATTTCTAGATTGAGTATAATCTGGATGTCAATAAAGAAATGTCCGAAGTGATTTCATCATCAAAACAAGGGATGATCGGCTCTTTGAATTAAACAAATTTCTCCATTTATAACGACTTAAAGTTTTGAATATGAAAAGGGTTTTTTATCGAAGTGACATTTTCACTTCCACACTTGTATCACAATCCTTATTATAACAATGCAAGACACCTAATGACTCCATTGCCACCCCTACCCGCAGCCCCCTCACACCACCTAAGAAACATTATGATTTTCTTGTGACAAAATTGACCAGACCATGGCTGCATCGCATGAACCAATTGTGGGTCCTACGTTGCTTGACACTACTTAATGTCGAGATGATTGGGAAGTGATTAGATGCCCATTTTTGGGTGCTCCACTTAGGCCAATCTTTATTTCCACTGGGGTTATTTTAGTCAATACGTGCTTTGCTTGAAATTATTGAGGCCATGTTTGGGCCTAGGTGACAAACAACATCACTTCCAAAATATTGAATATTCAATTTCGTCTCATAAGATGATAGTTCATTTGAAAACAATAATCTTGAAATATCATTGCTCGTTGAAAATTATTTGGGTTCTATGCCACATTGAGTCTTGAAAATGTCAAATTTATCATATCTAATTGAAGGAATTGCATAATAATTGTGGTGTGACACTCCCCATAAGCGGTTTTCGAGGATGTTTCAACATAGACTAGCACACGAGCATTGCCTTTCTCTAATATATTTGAGCGATACACTTATTTCAAAGTAATGAAGTAAATAAATTGACTTACAATGACAAGATTTATTAGCATTGAATTTGAGATGATTAAACCAACATTACGTAGTGACATACTACCATTAAATTAAATTAGGGAAACCGTAGCACGAAATAGAATTTTCAACAAGTTTTTGAATTATAGGTACGTATTTATCTATTTTCAACACGTCTCCTCATGAAAATTACAGTTAGCTAATGCATACAATAACAAATGTTTGGGAGTTTTTCTCATTAGAAAACGGATTTTTAAGATAAGATCCAACATATGAAAACATGTTACTAGATGAATCATTTTGTTTGATAACTTTGAGTTGAAATTGCACTTTGTTTTGGACCGTGTTGTGAACTTTAATGTCTCCAAAATAATTTGCCCCTATTTGATGAAGTTTTTTTTAAATTATAAGTTGATCAAACTTCATTTTAACCACACATTTCATTGAATTTTAAACCATACATTTCGTGAAATCCACGTCAACTTTGTTCCTATAGTGCCATGACACGTTTTTCATTTATGTGCAGCTTATTATATATGTACACGCCTTAACTACATGAAACCCGACAGAAACATAATTTTCCAAGTACTAACTAAAGCCAACTTTAACTTTAGAAAGTGGACTTTGTGTCATATATTAAACCAAGAAAAAAAAATGTTGGATTATCAAATAATCCGTATCCAAAGTGCATGCAAGCTAGCCAGGATAGAATTGGAGAAACAAAACCGTGCAAGGAATGCTAATTAATGCTATTCTAATAAGCGTAACTTTTGAAGTAATTGTATTCAAATTGCTAACTTTCTTGCCTATTATTGCTTATATGGAAACCAATTCACAAACCACGAGTGGCGTTGGAGCACCATGTTGAAAAAGGGAAGTGTTTAATCTCGGATTCTCCCGAGTGTATTGTGTTATCACTGTAAACCTAAATAAATGTCAATTTTTTGTAAAATAACGAGTCGGGCAGTGGTCGATTTTCACCTTGACCCTGTATTGCGCTCATTATGTTCAATACCACCATGCTTTTGGTAGGTCGGACGCCTTGCATTTTTGCATTGAGGTTGACCATATATGGCTCCCATATTTCACATATATGTTTACTCACGAGTTCCCTTAAGAGCATCAGCATAGCACTAATCTTTAACGATTGGATTATGATTAGTGTCTTCTGTAAACATCATGAACCTGAATAAATACCATGAATCTATAAAACAAAGGTCAGTTAAACCAGTTTGGCAAATAGAGGTAAAGTTAGCGAACGATTTTTACCTTAATCTATATGTGGCCAGGATTATTGCCCGACACCAGCTAGCACTGTTTAGGTAGATCGATTATAGCCAGGCACCTCCACAATATGTGGCCCCCATATTATCAGGCCCCTTAATAGCATCAGCATAGCACTAAACTCACCTTTGTTTAGCTCTCGAATCACTTATCCACTATGATGAAAAGAATATTCAATTAGATACAATAAAATGGGATAGTGCAAACGTGTGGAAGTGAGATTCTCACAAGCCTGAAATTTCTTATAACTCTTCTAAGTTTATACTAACTGAATAGACCAACCCACCCCCTTCCCTCCAAGTGCTTATAAATATTCTGGTGTCTAACATCAATTCCTCAGGACAAACACAACATCTTCAAGTGTTTTCCTCTTCTTTTCTCATTCTCAAAACTTTCTTGTTTTTCTCTAAGTACGAAAAAATGGAAGGAAAAAGTTGCCTTGGCAATTTTTTTGAGAAGGCTAAGCCTTATATAGCTATGATTTCTTTGCAATTTGGTTATGCAGGAATGAATATTATTACAAAAGTTTCTCTTAATAGAGGCATGAGTCATTATGTACTGGTGGTTTACAGACATGCCTTTGCCACTGCAGTTATTGCACCCTTTGCTCTTGTACTAGAAAGGTGCACCATATCTTACTCTAAACGAATCTATCGAGCAAGTTCGGTATATAGTATTGAACAAGACTGGACTTGTTCTTTCTTAGTCTTTGTTTGGCCTCCATTTTTTCAAAAACTCATTTTTTTCAAAACTTATTTTCAATCACACATTCTCCTATAAAATAATTTCACATAAATCGAAAAAAAATTCTTGCTTTTTAACCGTACATTCTCCAAAAAATCATTATTCTACATTTCTCCCCATAAATGGGGCTCAAACGGAGGCCTAATATTGTCCGGTGTTGTACAATTCACTTACCAAACAATGCCCAATTATTTTTATATTTGCGTTTTCATGATTTCAGATTCTAACTCAATATTTTTCTGTTTTATGACAGAAAAGTGAGGCCAAAAATTACATTTCCAATTTTTCTGCAGCTATTTGTATTGGGACTTCTTGGGTGAGTATTTTAATTCTAACATGCACAGAAAACGGGGGTACATAATTTTGCATGGAATCTAAATTTATTGAAATAATGCTTAAATTTTTGTTGTTGTACAGGCCTGTCATTGATCAAAACTTCTACTATGCTGGACTTAAATTTACTTCTCCAACTTTCTCATGTGCCATGAGTAACATGCTTCCTGCAATGACATTTGTTATGGCAGTCCTCTGCAGGTACACATTTTTTCGTTCTTCTCCTTGAAACTTATTTCTTCTTCTTTAGTACTGAGTGTTTCTTTTGAATCCACGTTATCGAACAAGCCAGAAATATTTAATGTGGTAAATTGTATATATAGGATGGAGAAGTTGGACATAAAGAAAGTGAGATGCCAAGCAAAGGTGGTGGGAACAATAGTGACAGTCGGTGGAGCCATGTTAATGACAGTTTACAAAGGTCATGTAATCAACATAGTTTGGTCCAATTTTGTTCATCCTAAACAATCCAATGTCCCTGACACCATTGAAGCCACTGACAAAGATTGGGTTAAAGGATCAATTCTACTTATCATTGCCACTCTTGCCTGGGCTTCTTTCTTCATCCTTCAGGTACCTAACACTTTCTGTGTGAATTCTGCACGTGGTACTAGGCAATATTGAACAGTATAATGAACAAGAATATAAGGAATTAAGGACCGCTTTGGTTTTTGTCACAGGCTCACACACTGAAAAAATACACAGCCCATCTTTCCCTGACAGCCCTTGTGTGCTTCATGGGAACACTGCAATCCATAGCTGTCACTTTTGTGATGGAGCACAAATCTTCTGCTTGGGCCGTTGGGTGGGACATGAACCTCCTAGCTGCTGCCTATGCTGTAAGTTCACCTCTCCCTCCCTCCCTCCTCGGATATTCTGGTGTCAAATTTGGTCATGAACGCTTGGGCTTGTCAGAATGCCATTATGGGCATCGATTCAAGTGGCTCTGCACGACCCGACTGACACCACTACTCACGTGTAAAAACTAATGATATGCGACTGTTTATCGTATCAATACAGGGTATTGTTTCATCGAGCATTGCATACTATGTCCAAGGTCTTGTGATGAAGAAAAGAGGGCCTGTCTTTGCGACTGCTTTCAGTCCATTAATGATGATTATTGTGGCCATCATGGGCTCTTTCATCCTCGCTGAAAAGATATATGTTGGAGGGTAATTTTCTTATACTGTCCAGTACTGTGTACAAAATCGTGCTTTAATTTTAATCACACGACTGAAATTTAGTCTCTTTTGTTACAGTGTTCTTGGGGCTGTGTTGATTGTGATTGGACTTTACTCGGTTCTGTGGGGAAAATATAAGGAATACAAGGAAAGGGACGCTGAGGAAATTCCTGAACCAGTAAAATTAGGAATCACAGGAGACAACCAAACAATGATGATTGAAGACATTGAAGCAAACAACACAGAAATGCACAAACGTGAAACTAACGAAGTACTGTCAGTTCCAGCAATAGCAATCAGTGCTCCAATGCCGCAGCCTCCCATGATAGCTATGGAAGCTCCAAAACCTTTAGCCAGATAAAGATTTCGATAGCATGTGTGGTCAGGAGATTGAATAGGAGCACTAGACATGAAGAAAGAAGTTAAAATCACGTCTAGTATACTGACTAGCCCTATCTAGTATTATGTAACAAATATGCTAAGAGCAGTAAAAAGGGGTAGAATGAGAAGAAAATACTTTTAATGTTCTTTTTTTATTTTTTCGGGACTTGGGTAGAGCTTGTGATCTTTCCTGTAAGCCAAATATTAAGAGAAAAATTGATTGAAAAAAGAGCATTTTATTCCCTTCTGATACTGTTTTAACTTGTCCAATTTGAATAATTTTGTCATTCTTTCACCCATATAGCTGAAGTCTGATTCAGCATCCACTTATTAAACTTGTGGATTTGCCTTTTATGGGAAATCCATTAATGAAAGATTACGTCTTTCAGTCATATACACAAAGGAAATCGAGCTATTTCCATTCACAATTTTTATATATTCATCCACTTTTAAAAAAAAATTATATATTACATTTTTAACATTACGTAAATTTACTTAAATAGAGGAAAATAATATTAAATAATTTTTGGGATAATTGCAGTTGCATCGCAAACCTTTCTTTTTTATAGACTTTACCCGAATTTTTTATTTGTGCCAACCACAATTCTAAAGTTTTTTTCTGTTGCAAGGGAAGTACAAATGGATGGATTCCGTCCATTTTGACCGTTAGTTGATTAAAAAAATTGATTTTGATCATGTTTTGATCAATTTTAAAAAGATATAGTGATAAATTTATATATTTTCAAATAACATGATAAAAATAATTAAATGTAAAAAAAAGAGAGAGAAACTCCCCACCCCACCTCACCTCACCTCCACCGCACCCCAAACCAACCCAACCCAAATCAAACTCCAGTAGGTCCCAAATCAAACTTGACATCAAACCCAGAATTAATGTGAAACAAGTGCTTAGGGCAACTATCCATCCCAAATCAAACTCAATGTTCTTTCATACCTCTTACAGTTATATGTGCGATTATTAAATTTGAATCGGACTCTTCAATTTGACCGAAAGGCCAAAGAGTAAATATAAAAACACTTTGTTAGATAGCGGTTCTAACTCGTACGGATTCTTCAAAAGTCAAATACCCAAATTGCTAAAATCTGATTGGAGTCGTCAAAGTTTCTCTTCAAATGCTTGCTAAGTTTCGATCCTAAGACGGTAAAAATGGCACATGTTAAACAGGGACGTTAAGCTCCGAAAGTACTAGAATTTTTTTCAACTCAAAGATAGGGATCAAATCTATAAATTGGGTTACACATGAGAAGGCATCGGTACAACGCTTATAAAATCATCCACCAATCAAGAATTAATTATGCTTTTAGCTTTCATTAAAATTATAATACATATTTTTCTCTTTTTTTTTTAAACACACATTTTTCAATAAAATAATATTACACGTAAATCGAAAATTTTTCCTTCCTTTTCAATCATTCATCCCAACAAAATGCTATTTCAAAATGCTAACAAAATGCTATTTCAACCCCCCGCGACACAACTTAATTGGCGGAACAATCAGCACATAACTCACTTCCAACAGTAGGGTGGGGGTTCGAATCCTGGTGGGAACCTGCGACCATATTTACTTGGTATGAAGCAATCACTTTGGAGGATGATCCCTTGTGCGTAGAAATGCACGGTTGATGAGGGGAATTTAGGAACCAGTTGATGCATATCTCGTGATTTACCTCCTCCAAGGTTTTAAGGGCAAGGGTCTTGGAGGTCTAGGATTTAGTCTGGCAAAGTTGTGACACTTGGGTATAAAAAAAAAGTGGAAATTACACAATTCCTTACTTTTAAAATTATAATACATATTTTTCTCCTTTTTTTTTAAATACATTTTTCAACAAAATAATATTTCACGTAAATCGAAAACTTTTCCTTCTTTTTCAATCATTCATCCCAACAAAATGCTATTTCAAAATGCTAACAAAATGTTATTTCAACCCCCCAGGGCACAACTTAACTGGCGAAACAATCAGCACATAACTCGCTTCCAGCAGTAGGGTGGGGTTCGAATCCTAGTGGGAACCTAGGACCATATTTACTTGGTATGAAGCAATCACTTTGGAGGATGATCCTTTGTGCGCAGAAGTGTACAGTTGGTGAGGGGACCCTGGGAACCAGTTTAGGCATATCCCGGATTTACTTACTCCAAAGTTCTAGGGGCAAGGGTCTTGGAGGTTCAGGATTTAGTCTGACAAAACTGGAACACCTGACTATCCAAAAAAAAAAGCTATTTCAAAAATTATAATAACAAAGAGGGAAAAGGGGGCTAAGCTAACCCAATTGCTCTGGACAAGCACAAATCATCTTTGAATTCGAGTTTTCCGTTCTCGTATGGGAATGGCCCTTCTACTTCTGAAACGATGCCGAAATTTGGATCCTTCAATTTGGTGGCGGAAAATACAAAAGTTAAAAGACCTAAAAAGGCGGAAGATGAAGAAGAAATTGAAGCCACTGCTGTGAAATAAGTTGTGGGTTCCACAACTAGATTCAACAGATGGTTTTGAAATGTTAAAAATATTAGGACAACTGAACTTTTCAGGAAAAAAAAAGTAGTTTTAGTTGCTTTTAGTCAATATGATTTTGAAATTTTGTAGCCCGGTCTTGGATCCAATCCTGGATTCGCCCCTGCTTGTGCGCAGAAGTGCACAGTTGGTGAGAGGACCCTGGGAACCAGTTGAGGCATATCCCGCGATTTACTTACTCCAAAGTTCTAGGGGCAAGGGTCTTGGAGGTTCAGGATTTAGTCTGACAAAACTGGGACACCTCAGTATCCAAAAAAAATGCTATTTCAAAAATTATAATAACAAAGAGGGAAAAGGGGGCTAAGCTAACCCAATTGCTCTGGACAAGCACAAATCATCTTTGAATTCGAGTTTTCCGTTCTTCTATGGGAATGGCCCTTCTACTCCTGAAACGATGCCGAAATTTGGATCCTTCAATTTGGTGGCGGAAAATACAAAAGTTAAAAGACCTAAAAAGGCTGAAGATGAAGAAGAAATTGAAGCCACTGCTGTGAAATAAGTTGTGGGTTCCACAACTGGATTCAACAGATGGTTTTGAAATGTTAAAAATATTAGGACAACTGAACTTTTCAGGAAAAAAAAAATAATTTTAGTTGCTTTTAGTCAATATGATTAGCTCTGGAAAGCAGCTTCAAGATTACTTTTCTTCTCAAGTATGAATATACTTCCATAACTTTTGGAATTGCTTTTAATATAATTGGCTCCAAACACAAAGAAATGTGACCTAGATAGCAACTGGTATTAAATGTTGCATAGGGAGTTGGAAATCACAGAGAAGAATAACACCATGTTTTCCTTTTGTAGTATTCCTTGATAAATTTTTTAAGAAGATTTTAATTTTGTTTGTCATGCATTCTGATAGCTGCTTTGTCTGTTGCAGCTCGGAATTACATAGTTGACTCTAAATTTATAGAGATAAGAGTTTGATTTGAAGGAATAATGAAAACTGGTGGAAAAAAAAAAGCACAGGTAAATTAAGATGCCAATACAAGTTTGCAGTCACTTGAATAAATGTATAGTTTTCAATATCCCTATTTCAGTAGGGCAGGCAACACAACTGAAGATAAAAGGTCTAGACGAGAATTCTCCTCATCCTCGTTGCAGGACTTCAATCAACACCATAGACGCGGCCTGACATGACATGAGCGCAAGTATTACCAAAGAAACTGAGCCAATATCGATGAAAGCATTACCAAAATCCCTGAAAACTTCAATTGGAATTTCTCTACCTGAATGAACTTCACTATGAAAATGAAAAATACCGCATTCCTAACGTTTAAACGCAGAAAAGTTTTCAACGCACATAACATAAATCATCAAACCACATCGATAGCAACAGAAATTGTTGTTCTTCTATAAGGTTGATAAGATGGATTACTGTACACAATCATTAATACATATCTAAACCAATTAATCGTCAGGATCAATGCCTACAATTCGAGACTGAATTACAAGATCATTCATTAAAAGGCAAATCCTCTACACTAGTATACAACTCTTGAGATTATAAAGAAACAGAATATAAAATGAAAAAGAAAAGTAGGAAATGAAGGGGGGAAAGGTGAAAAGGGTGGAGATGGAAAGGATGGCAGCTTTACCATCGCTTTTCCTCTCGCACTAAAATTTTATCTACATCCTACGATTGTAATCTAGGGGTTAGCATACAGTTAACTGATGCTCATTACAGGCAGTTCTTGCACTTCAAACAATCTTCAGAATTCACAAGAGGATCCCAACCTTAGCTTTGGCAATCCTATGGATTTTCTTCCCTTAAAAGCCTCTGGCAGAAGTTTTTCAAAACTATCCAAGAAAAATACCCATTCCTGATCATTCATTTCCCCGAAAGAAATTCCTTCAGCTTCATGGCTATATTTTGGAGCGGGGAAACTCACACTTCTCATCAAGCGACCTGCCTTGGAATTCTCATCCTCAATTGCATCATCATCCCATCTGGTACTCAAATCTTGACAATTCTCATTTTCATTCGAAGGAAACATCGTCGAGTCATCTAATATACTCAGTGATGAATATCTTGGAATTTTTGGTGGCTTACCACTTATTGTCGGAAAATTCTGTAAGTTCTGAGGAAAATCTAAAACCTGATTGGGGCCATATTCATTTTCATCAAATTGGAAAATCTCACAAATTTCGTCTTCATCATGATCACTGCAGACAATATCATCACTTCTTCCACAGTTCAAGCTAGCCCTGGCATTTATACAGATATTCTCGAATGCGCTCCAATTCTCTTCTTCTCCTTCAAACTCTCTAGTCATCATTTCACCTATATCAGCAAGGCAAAACCCATAATCCGTTGCTTGCTTCAAAAAGATTGTGCAAAGCACAAGAATCCGAATGGAGGACTCCCTAATTGCTGGAAGTTCAACTCTTAGCAGCTCTGCATCTTTAAATGGATCAAGACTGGATATGTATTCAACTTCAGACTCCGAGAAGGGTATAGAGGCTTGTGGCCAATGCAACCACTCAAAATATGGATCGTCAAGTGATTCAGGTAAGCAAAATCCATGATCTATGGGAACTAGCTCAGCTTTTCCTGCGGCATAACTCTCTTGCCCCTGCTTCACTAGAATGTTCCCAGCATGTCTGTCAAGATTCATCAGTCTAACATCTAGTATCCCTATATGGTGTATAGAGGAGACGGAGAAGCGTGAAGGGCCCAAATCTCCCGCATCAGAATCGTGATTTACAAAACGTTGAAGTGATGCGATCTTATAAAGCGGGGCCAGAACTGGTTCTGAACTATTTACATTAAATTTGACATGAGAAAATTTGACTAATACTGTAGGAGGGACACCGGCAAATCCACCATGGTCAAGGAGATAAGCAGCGGATTCGCGCAGGCCAGTTTCACCTATCTTAATTGAGCGTTTGATTCCTGGTTGACCAAACGTACGGCCACCAAAGCCTTTCGGATTATTGAATGCCAGAGGTTCCTCGTCTATGGGCTTTGCAACGGCTATAGGATCACCATTTCGAGTGCGCAGAAAATAGGCCCCACCAAGCCCACTAGAGACTGGCTCGGGATTGATGCCAGAGGCCATAGCTATGGCAACCTCAACAACCATAGTACATACTCTTGGTGTGGCACAACCACCAATGATTTCAATCCTAGCATTGATATCAGATTCATCCTCAACTCTAGAGGAATGAGATAGGCATGGGGTGGAGAAGCTTTTGTGGATGTTAGTGAACTCGAATGCATGTTTCAAGGAGTATGTAAGCTTGGATTGACTGAAGTTGAGCATCGTGTAATCAAGCTGAGTGTAAGACTGGAGTTTGCATCTAGGAGGTCGAGTAAATGGCCTGAACCCATGACCTGGATCAATGGCAACAGCCATCGTGATGAATGTCATGCAAGTGAAAATGGCTATAATACATGCTAAGGGCTGCTTATCAAAGGATCCCTAGAGGGTTAGTCTTCCCTGGGAGATTAGACATCACGTATCTGCATTAATAATAGAATACTCAGAATTCTTCAACTCAACCCAAAAAACAAGAAGAAATCTGAACAAATAGATAAGGAAAGCTGCTCACAAACACCGCATTGTCCCTCAGAATCCTAAAATGTTAAGTTAAGAGTCTGTCTTGAGTTTGGACTGTCAATTGAGGTGAATCAATATGTAATAATAATCCAAGGCTCGATTGTAATTAAATTAACTTGATCTAAAATGAATTAAAATTTTATTTTTCCTGCTTGAATTCCCAGTCATTAAAGACTTTGAATATCAAAGGTTTCTTAACCAATAGTGGAGCATAAATGTCACTGCCGCTTCAGTTTATACAAACGTAATTTCTTCCTTTCATCTGAACTAATGGATGCAATTCATGATAATATGGACAATAAGTAACATTTTACATGATGAAACACGAGTCTACATCAACATTCAGATAGCACATCTTATCTAAAGGTTTGCTTCATAAGGTTTAATTTGATAATAAGTTTTAAACAACAAAAGATGAGACTGAAAGGGGAGAGGAATGGCATTAATTTGATCAAAACATGCAAAAATAAGCTTAAATAAAGAAAAGCAAACCATTTATTCTTACTAGAGATTTGCCTAAAAAAGGCTGCAAATATCAACAATAAAAACCATGGTGCTAATCTCCGACCACCTATCAAACATAGAACAGTTCATAAAAATTGTCAGATGATTTAGATCCCGCATAAATGAATGGTTAATAGATAATTAAAAGTTCAGAACTTTTATGAATGATTGCTTGAAACATAAGAATGAAAAGGCACATACCATCCTATTAGTCCCTCGCTCCTCCGCTTAAAATCGCCACAAAAAACTGCAAATGAGATAAAACAACAATATTATGCCCAGTTGCTCTTAATTCAATGAAAATTAGAATTTAATATTCCATAATTTAATTAAAAAAAAAGAATATATTCATTTCTCTGAATAAAAACCACTAAATTACACCGTTGAAACTTAATTAATTTCTTCGATTTCATACAAGCCACCCCGTGATTGTCCCTACCCGTGCAGATATAAGCATGTGAAGAGAGTGATTCAAAATTCTAACGTACACAATTGCTAATTGATTAAATAGGAGAACATTGTATGATCGGCTCCTCTATCATCGTGTGTGTACATCAAAGAAGAATTATCCATATTACAATTTGGCTTGAAGCCCATTCAGAATTCATTCAACGAAAAACTAAACCACAATAATAATAATAATAATAATAATAATAATAATAATAATAATAACATTTCACAATATAATGAAGGAAAAATCAGAAATCAGCATAATCAAGAGAAGGAAACAATGCATGATTGCTCCTCAATCATTGGGTGTATCTCAAAGAAGAATGATCCATATTACAATTTATCAAGCCTATTTTAAAAATTGATGCATTCAATAAAAAGCAAAACCGAAAATCATGAAATACTCGCAATGAACATTTTAAAAACCATAAAATTTCACAAGGAAGATACATACATACCCAGAAATTAGCAAAATGAATGGACAAATGGAAGTTACATACCCTGAATACTGGTGAGGCATTCAGGGAGACGGAATGGCAACGGGAGAGCGCGAGAGCGAATTATTCCGTTACCGAAAAACTCCTAAAAAAGACGAAGTTCTCCCACCCCCTTCTCCTTTTATGCCCTTTTTTCAATTGATACCCCACCCCATGGGGACTCTTCTCTTCCTTATAAATTCCTCCTCCTCTCTCTACAAACCGGTAAATCCTCTCTCTCTCCCCCACGCTCTCTCGCCCACCCTCCATTGTTTTCGCTCAATGCTCAACTGTTTTCTATTTATAGGATGGCGATTCGTTAAGACTTGATACTACATAGGGAAATTTACGAGACGTCCCTGAACTTACAAATTTGTCTCATGTTGGTCATTCAACTTATGTTTAAACTCTCTTGTAGGATACATGAAACTATAACATTGGCAATACTGTTAAATAGATGTCATATTTTTTTTGTTTTGATACGTTGTAGTGGAAAATTTTGTCAATTATGTGGGTGAATCATAATTTTTTCGAACATTAAAAAACTCGATCAATTGTAATAACGATTACGAATGTAATTACTAAATTGAACAAAATATAAGTTGTATGATCAAATTTAAACTAATGGTATCAAAAAGGGCTTGTAACCTATGTCGGTGTTCCGGATTCATATGGGTATCTGATCATAATTATTTTTATCGGATCGAATCGAATTTGGACAATTCGATCCATTTACGGCACTACACGAGCGGTGTCCGGCCCCCATTCAGTACAAGCTGATTCACTAGTTGAATCGACGTGTATTACTGATCGATTTAATATGAGCCAAACATCTTATTTTATTTCTTGCTTTTAAGTTTAATTTTTTAAAACTTGAAATAGACTTTGTTATCATAATGTCTAAAATATCCTTGATATAGATTACCTTTTCGAAACTAATTAAAATAGATATTAACTCAGTTGAATATATAACAATTTAGTCAAGATGGAACCAACAATGGTCGACATTAAACCTGTCTTCCTTTCAATCATATTATATGTACATCACTTTTCACATTATGCCATGAGAAAACACGCTATTGAACAGTTTAAAAAAATAAACAGTTTTTTCACTAATCAAATCATGTCAACTTGAATGTTGCTAAAAGTAATGTACACTTTTGATGTATAAATGGTTTAACTCTCTGATAGAGGCTACATGTACAAATACAGATGCCTTACGGATACTCGGATGGGGGTAAATTTTTTTTTACCTTTTTATTGCACGGGACCACCCTCATGTGAGAGGGGCTTCTATAATTTTTTTTATTTATTATGTACAAATGGAAATTTCCTAACTCTTTTCCTTTAAATCAATACAGTCGGAAGAGGGTGGGATCCACGTAATATCAGAGTCAACAGATGTCAGCATGTTTGGGTAAACTTAAAAGTCACTTTGCTCAACTACAGGAACTTTTGAGAGAAGTTGCTATTAAGACCAACAATCTAGAAGAAACCACTGTATAAACCAATCTCAGAGAACACAGAAACTTACTTTCGAGTAACTAGTGAAGAATGAAATAGAATACTACTATTTGTAGTGAAAATTCTTAACTTTTGGAGATTGGAAACAGAAGGCTAGGTTTTAGATTTGCAGATTCCTCCTCCTTAAATTTACGTACAATAGACATAGTAAGCTGACAAAATGACAGCACATGTCGTAACAGGCCCTTCACCTTTGTGACATTGACCCGAACGGCATCTAGACACTGAGTTGGTGGTAATCAATATTTACACGTACAAAACAATATATATCGACTCGATTGTGAGTCGCGCCCTTCCAGTGTTGCTCCCACTTGAAAACTTCCACCAGATTGCTCTGTTCAATAGGATAAAATGATTCTTATTCTGCTGCTATAAATGCAATACGAGTAGTAGAAACAGCAAGAGCTTCGACAAATTGGAGGAAAAAACACATACAGAAGCTGCAAAAATGGGCAAATCGGTTCAAAAACGCAATCAATACCATCAAGAAGATTAGATCACAGCACATAGTGCACTAACTGCACTAATTGCGCGCGCGCGTGCACAATATATATATATATAATTCTTACTTACAAATTGTATTAGGCAAAAAGAACGACAGATTTAACTGTTCTTGTATAATTTATAGAAGAAACATACTCACATGAAGATGGTGAGGATGAAACAAATGGCATTACATCCGGAGGCCCTGCTTGGAATTCACCCTTTGATGGGGGCTGAGTATGAGAATAAGCGACATTTGGTAATGGACTTGCTACTGGAGGTATTTTAGGAGTCGGAGAATACATGTGCTCGGGTTGTGAAGGAGCTGCCCGAGGCACATAAAGCGGTGGTGCAGTCGGCGATGCATGAGAATCCTTATTGGGCTTTGATGGGAATCTATTTTTGTAACCATTATGACAATTGGGAGGCTCTGCTACTCGACTCTTCATTGGCACTGGTGTAGGTGCTGGTGTAGATGCTGGGGAGACTTTACCCGTTATAAATCCACTTTTTCCCATCGCCGGTGCAGGTGAAATACCAGGAGCAAGGCTGGCATCATGGTGGTTTTGAATGTGGTGATGGTGGTGGGGGCGGTGGTGGTGAGGCGGAGATTCTGACGAAGGAGCAGGAGATGGAGATGGAGATGGCGACGGCGAGGGCGAGGTACCACTTCCATCACTGCCAAAATTGATGGATGAAAGACGAACTTGCTTAACCCGACCAAATACAGTGTTATTTAGGCCAAGGTTTTCAGTACGGGAACCAGTGATGGTCTGAGCCAACTGCTTCAACCTTGACTTTGAAGGATTAATACCCACTGCCAAGAGAACTCTCGACTCAACTATTGTGGGTGCATCCACTGTTGAACCTTCATGATTTGTCAGGGTAATGTACAAGTTCTGCATTCCAGAAAAGAAGCAAGAGCATAATTCAAGTGCATGTTTGCAACGCTTACTTACAAGTTGTGGATCCTACGAAATGTGTGGATAATAAGTGAGCATTAAGCTGTGGGTCCTAGGAAATGTGTGGATGAAAAGTATGTTTCGGGAGCTTAAATTAAATTTTAAGCTTGGCCAAACATGCACTAAATTGTTGAGGTGTTGATCAAAGGAGGCAAGCAAACTTGATAGATTTAACTAGATTTAGGCAGTCAGGGTATTGGAGACTGATTATGCAACTACAATGAGATGTTGAGTTATCACTTGCTTCTTTTTAAAGGCTAGAGAGTAGAGAACAACTTGCTACTAAGGCAATTCGTAGTGGACCAATTATTCAAATTTCCCTAATAATTACAGAGAAAAAAGGAATAACAGAACCAGACCTCATAAGGAGCAAGATGTAAGCCCGATTTCAGTTGGCTCGTAAGTTCATCGAATTTATATAGTATTTGATCAATGGAGAAGTTCAAGGTAAAGTTGAAAAGGATCAGAACTCTCTGCATAAGAAATGCCTTTTGTTCAGGACTGGCAGTAATTCCTCCTTTGAATTTCAGCACCTCGAAAGAAAATGGATCCCCAAAAAAAGTAGTACTCAAATGAAAAAATGATTGGCGTGTAACTAAAGATACAAAGGAGGCTCTGATTAAACTTTGGGTGGTCACATCAGAATCAACGGCAAACACAACCTTTGTTATGTTTGATCCATCTAACGATTGTAAAGATAATATTTCCACCTGTCATAAAAAGTTGACTTTACTAAGATTCGAGGAAAAATAAGAAAATGATCAATGTAGAAACCAGAAAAAGAAAAAACAATAAAGTTAAATGGTGATATGAGAGCATAGGAAGTACGTTAGTTGTGGAGAAGCTTATTTCATCAAAAATATCGTCCCGAAGTTTCGAGATATAGTCTTTAAGAAAAGAAGTGGGCTGCTTAAGCATAAAACTTGCCACTATGTTATGACCTGGAGAATACCAATCAAAAAATTACAAAACGTATCAATATAAGAAGAAACGTGAAACAGCTTGAGGTTAATCTCAAATGATAGAAACAGGAAAATAGTGGTCTAGCATTTCCAAAACTGACATAAACTAAAATTTTCACTACGAGATATGCAGGCTACATTTTTCAAGCATGATTGCTAAATGTTCTACTAAAATAGCTTAAACATGAATTCTGACTAGTCCAATAGGACTATCAAAGAGGTCTTTGGTATATTAATGAATGACGTCAAATCATGGGATCAAATGTATGGAGAAAACATGGCGAACTTTTGATCTAGATATAGCATTTACATCTCCTCAAGATTCTTGAAAGATCTCCAGCAACTCCACGACAACTTAGTTCAATCTTGTACCGCATTGTCCATTATAGGACATTAGTTATGTTGTAGTGACTCGTTATTAGTAACTCTTAAATTTCCGCCAACTTGTGGCATCAAATAAATCCCCAACTCAATAACTAGCTTATCAGTATGGAAGAGGATAAACCATATTGTACTTTGTCTGCAAAATCTTTGAAGAACACTGAAACAATTAAAAATATCAACAGGTTTATTCGTCTCTAGGGTGCAAAACACTTATCCTCCTCTAACTATGCAAAATTTCAGCGATTTACATCACTATGCATTATACATACAGAATATAACCCAGAATTTTGCTGAGAAATCTTCCAGCTTAAAAAACACCTCAAATCAATTCCGCAACACTAAATCAAACCACAGAAATTGGAGATTTCAACCACCCAAGAAGTATCAAAAATCCCAAATACCAACAAATATTTGTGCCCCATCCAAATCCCAGATACCAAGTGCACAGATAGAATTTAAAAACAGGAAAGAAACATATGCATAGATATGCAAGTACCAAACAATGATGATTATCATAATCAAGGCCTGTAAAAAATTCAAAAGTTGAAAATAAAAATATTTAATAAAAGAATCCCACCAACCTTGATAATCCAGATCCAGGTCTTTTCTATCTCCAATGTGAAAAAATGGCAACCAAAAAAAAGCAGATAAAAGAACAGCAAAACCGAGTACCAAAACAAAAACACATCTAAAAGTCACCACCTTTTTAAGCCTACTACAATCCAAACACTTCCTATTTCTGTTCCCTGAATTTGGAGTTGAACCCTGAGCATCAAGGCTTGTAATTGGCAATTGCTGCTCCCCCTCTACTTTCCCCATTGATAAATTTTCACCAATGTGGATTTTTCTTGCTTTTTACAACGTGGGTTTTTCTGCTAGACTCCATTATTGATATTTTTTTGATGAAAAACAGTCCATGGCTGCCCTTTACCCTTTCTTTTTTCTTCTCTTTCTAACTGTAGATGAGAGAGAGAGGTGGGGAATTTTTGGTGAGTTCTCTAGAGGTGAAGGAATAAAATATTATCTTTTTGGGCTTGAATTGAGGTGGAAGAGTGTGGAATAATTTCTGCAGATCAACTGTTTTTTTCCAGGGGACGACGAGACGGACAAGTCTTAACTCTTATGTAGTTTGGTTGTCGGTTTCAATTTTTTTGTAATGGAAAGTAATACAAAAATGGAAGCTTCTGTTTATTAGTAAAACAAATTATTGTCCAAAGGAGAATTTGATCATAGTTAATCAATAAAAAATATACCCAAAGGTAGAATGGGATAAATAAATATTTATTTTCCCTATCATTATTTTTCAGAAATTCTGGCAAGACAAGATAAGGAGCTGCAACCTTAGAGTTAAATGTTCACTGAAAATAGAGATTTTACATTAATTGTGATTTTATACAATCAGATGGCTAAGATAATACAATCATTCCACTTGTACAAAACTATTTCATCTGTAAAAATGACAGAATACTCACATGGGGGTGGGCCACATGTGAATAAAATATTATTATAAAAAATGGGGCACACCCCCTATGTGCGTGATCTGATATTTTGACAGAAAAAATTTCTGTAACAGTAGCACTCTTCAAGATAATAATCTGAAGAACTCGGTAAGCTATCCTGGATAATAAATATTACAAGCTTTGAAGTCTTTAACTAGTTGGATTGTCACTCAATTATAATATTTTTCCTCATATTAACATTTTTCGAACATTTCTATAGACTAAATCATCAATGGTTATGATACATCTTGATTATGAATAATTTGAAAAAAATATCCACGTGCTCTGCTAATAAGGAGATGAGAAACCATTCATGTGTTGATGTACTGCTTTAAATTTATCGAGAATAAAATTTAATATACTATCGGGTTTCCAATTTTCTAAATCAGTTCTTGCTTTAGAAATAACATGTTGACGATTTAATAAACCCTTATTGATGGAGCGTCTAGCAACTCAATGTGCAAAAAAAGTTTGGTTGCTAATCAATTAAAGTGATGCAATGGTTCGTTATTAGTTTATGTTTGGCTCATGTTTGTAAATTATTTTTTATCTATATATGTTGATGAATTTACAAGTATTATTTATTTTTATTTATTTTGAATTTAAATGGTTTAGAAACCCTGAATATACTTTGCGACGTGTGATTTTATGATTGGCTCTCTACTCAGAGAGTGAAAGGACTCCATCTGCTGTGGCATATGCTTCCAATTCAGTTAACCTTCGAAAGGGATATAAATGGCAATAAATTGGCCGCCCGCCATTCACGGGAAATTCCCGTGACCTGAATTCAATTTTGGCACGGACCCTTGAAAAATGAGGGTAGTTAAAAAAGAAGAAGAAGAAGAAGAAGAAGCACGATTATAGTTAAATACAGTTGAATATTTATTTGACTCTTATATTCTAGTCGACGATAGATGGAGTTTCTATATATAAAATATTTTAAAAATGATGTTGTTCATACTTTATACAACACTAGGTGCAAGCAACGTGCAATACACGTTTGCTTAGTTTATATTAATATTTTTGTTTAATAATTAATTTGTTATTAATAAAGATGTAATTTTTTTTTTGTTAATTAAGGGCGTGTGTGTCTGGGCGCGCTGCAAGGAGGAAGGAGAATTGATTATGTTACCGTTTTTTTTTTAAAACCTACAGCCCTACAGTGAGAGAATTGGTCCAAAATTGCGGCTCCCAACGGCATGAATTGTGTTGCCAACGGCTTGATTTCTGCTGAAAAGTAGAATCATACACCCTATAAATAATTAATGATGTAATGTTTATGTAATTGATAAATAATTAGATGTGTGATTTTGATATTGTGATGTAAGTTGGTGAGATTGAATAAAATAAGCAAAAGTAGACAAATTTGGAGAAATGGCTAAATTGTAAGGGATCCAAAGTTCGGGGGCTAAAATGTAAATACTTAAAAGTTGTGCCGAATCTCACGATGAAGATTTGAGAGTGCTCGGAGTCAATTGGATAAAGGAAGATGTCAAGGGGATCAAATTTAGTCAAAAGATGATCACAAATCAATTTCCAACCGAAAAGTTATGCTCCGATATTTTAGTCTCATATTGAGACCTATTTTTGGTATAGAAAGTGATCGAATTGGAGAATGATGTCTGAATCAAAGTTGTAGCCAGATGAGTTAGCTTTCCAATGCATTTTGAATCGCCTCAATCGGATATCGGAATACAAAGTTATGATAAAAACACTGAAAGAAGGTGCAGCTGCCTGTTTAAAACAAAATATTCCGTTACATAGTCCGTTATATTGAGACATATTTTTGGCATAGAAAGTGATCGAATTGGAGAATGATGTCAAAATCAAAGTTGTAGCCAGATGGGTTAGCTTTCCAACGCATTTTGAATCGTCTCAATCGAATATCAGAATACAAAATTATGATAAAAACACTGAAAGAATGTGCAGTTGCCTGTTTAAAACAAGAAATTCCGTTACATAATCCGTTAAAACAACAAATTCCGTTAGTTTTTCCGTTAAACCAACAAATTCCGTTAAATAGACACTTTTTATATATAGAAAGATATTGTATTCGTACTCAATTATAATTAGGTTACTCAGTAAATGAAATGAAGAGTGAGAAAGTCTATTTAGAACTGTATTAGGTTAGTAAAAGTTGAACGAACATATTAAAAAGTCGTGACAGACATTTATAAAATACATTAGATAAAGAAATTAATGTCTAATATCTAGAAACGTCTTCCCCATAAGAGAGATTTTTTTATTTTTTAAAATTTTTTGTGAGGAAAAGAAGCAGCTATAGGGTCAATTGTGACTTAATTGACATTTGATAAGGAAGTCGAATGCGAGAAAATTAATTGATAAGGCTAGTTGATTAAAGTTATAAAGAGTACATTAGTGTCTTGTTCTCTGTGGTTGAGATAATTATATGAAAAATAAGTCTTTTGGTAAGAAAATAAGACTATATATAGTTAATACGACATGAGATCATATGATTGCGAGGGATTAATTGAAAATTAACGTCAAATGAGGAATGGACAAAAGCCACAACTTTTGTTCACAACAATTAAACCTCAACCCAATGCTCGAATCGTCCAGATCTTGAGTTCAAGGGCAAAAACAATATGTGAGTAGTTACAATGATTATAAATATTGTCCTGAAGCAAGAATTGCTTGAGGCACGTAATAAGAAACAGCTTTTAATAGATTTATATAATGTCTATGGAATAATGTAGTTACATCACTTACATGTATATTATTAATAGGAAATTTTTGTTTGTACAGAACAATTACAAATACTCACCGGGGGATGGGCCTCATGTGAATTAAATATTGTCAAAAAAAAAAGGGAGTCCACCTATTGTGTATATTCTGTAGGCTGTCTGTATGTTTTTTTCTGTACACTAAGCCTGGTTCTTATTAATAAGTTCACGTGTATGATATTAGAGATGACGATGTCTCTAAAGTGGTTTGGCTAACTATTTATGAATTTATGAAAATACAGGATAAATAACACATTACCTGTTCACGTATCGTTTTATGTGAAACAAAAGGATATGAAGCATATGAAAAGTCTTTTGGTTAGTCAAATAAGGTCGTTAGTTCAAAACTTGTCTATCAAGTCACCTTGGTTAACATTTATGTTAAAATTTGGTATTTTTAATTATTTTTTTGCGATTTCAAATCTAAAAGGTACTCATCAATGGTTGTGAAGACTTCAAGGGTGTTTGAGAAATATATAAGGGAGAGGGAGAGGGATTCAACATCTTTAGTAATCCCTCCTTATCTTAAAAGAGGGAACCGTGATTCACTGTTTACTTTTGTCACACGAGTTATCACATTGTAACTGGTTTTTCTACAATATACTGACTTTATCCCTCCTTAACATCTTTCATTTGTAAAATCTCTTTTTTCTTCCATGCATATTTATCCCTATTTGGAGAAAAGGTAGCAACAGTCGAACTCTCTCCTTTATGGTTTTGCCATATAGATGTGTTCTTGTAAACTGCTTCTGTAAGTGCCATAAGCTGTTCTTGGAGGTATGATTGAGGATTTGGGGCTAAATAAATTGAAAGAACCGAGCAATTACGATGAGAACAAGGACAAGCCAGGTACAAATTTTTTGACTCAATCCTTTTATGGGAATTCCAAGAAATGATGAAAAGAAAGTTGGGAAATTTTGTTCTGCTGGTTTTCATATGTTTAATTTGGTTTTCGATGTAATTTTTATTTGTTTTGATTTTTATATGGCTTTGAATTGATAGGATCTGATTTTATTTAAAAAAAGATTAATTTAATCTTGGTAAGAAAATTGTCAATTAGTAACATTTTCTTTATATTTCAGGTTAGTTATTTGTTTGAATGGCAAAGTCATTCACATTCATTTTTGACTTACCAAAAGACTTTTCATATGCTTCATATCCTTTTGTTTCACATAAAACGATACGTGAATAGGTAATGTATTATTTATCCCCGTCGGGAGCGTTATCCCCGAGCCCCCACTGCCCCCTCGACCCCGCGACCTAATTGGATAGATTGATCCCCATTTTGAAGCGGCAAATCATTTGCATAAAAACAATAAACAAATAAATAAATTATGAAAAAATATATTATTTCCAAACTAATGGTTTTCTACTAAATTTGAAATTTGGTCAAGGTAGTATTCCGACGACCCCGATAAAACTTTCCAGAAGTTTTATTCCAGAGTTAGTGATTATGCAGGCGCTTGAATATTTCCTACTAAACTTTGTTAGGTGGATACTATAAGTATTTTGGTATTCCAGAGTTATTGATTATGCGTATAATATTTGATATTTGGTTATGAATTAAACTGGTCAT